TGATGAAATGCTCTTAGCTTTCGATTTCTAGACTATAGATTGGCATCATTCTGGTCTGACAGAAAACACCGGCTGGTAGGCAGCGGGGGGGGGGGTATCTTCTCCCGCTGCTTATAAATGCAATCCTGCAGCTAATTAGCCACTAGGATTGCTTTTACATGAAAGCCGATTGTCGGCTGAAAAAAACGATACCAGGATAATGCCTGCAGCAGCAAGCATCATCCTGGCATAACGTATCAAAGTCCAGTGATGTACAAGTACGTTGCTGGTCCTTGTTGGGTGTATATGCTATGTTCTTTTTTTTAATGCAGCTTGTGGGCTGAAAAAAAAAATAGAAGACATCTCTGCCAGAAAAAGTGTGTGGTATACCCACTATTAGAATATACTGCCCTGCATCCACACACTTCTAATCGTGGGCACACATGAAATGTGCCAAAAAATATTATAAAATATATATGCCAAATCATAGGGGCCATCCACCCACTGGCCACCTCAGGCCCCCTTGCTTCAGCATATATGCTCTCTTTTTAATTGCAGATGAAAGATCTCATCCAACAGCACTGCACACACCTACTTATGTATATTCTGAGCGCAAGACCCTGTTGCTGTCAGAATAAAAAAGTCGGTGCTGCAGCTGAATGACATCCTCATTTCTCAAGCAGGCTTTTCCCCCCTTTCTAAGATGGGTATTTACAAGCCTTTGGGGGAAGCCCTGGTGATTAGGTTGCACAGTGTCACATGTGCCAATTCCAAGATTGTACACTTGTCTAAATAGTGGCACGCTTGAATAAAAATTGTCCGCGTATAACTGGTACCCCATATGGAAAAAGGATGACATCAAGTCCCAAACTATCTTGCCACTGCTCCCCATGTAGTCTGGGCATCTGGGGGGCTCCACGTGACTATTTTTTTCCTTTGAAAATCTGAAACTTATATGTATAGCCTGCTGTCCTCTCACAGGTCTTATACATCTTGACCCCATATCTGGCACGCTTGCTGGGGAGAAATTGTTTGAATGCAAGGCGCCCAGAAATATGAATGAGGGACTCATCAACGCAGATGTTTTGCTGGGGAGTATAGACATCTGCAAATTTTTGGTTAAGGTGATTTACAAGGGGCCGAATTTTGTGGAGCCGGTCAAATTCAGGGTCACCCCGAGGATAACAGAGTGTGTTGTCATTGAAATGCATAAAACACATTATACTCTCATATCTATGCCTGGCCGTGGCAGCAAAGAATATGGACATATGGTGAATCGGTCTGTGGACCAATACATCCGCAATTCATTTTTTTTAGTAATGCCCATGTTGAGGGTTAGGCCCAAAAAAACTTTAAATTCAGAAACGGTCATGGGTTTCTATGCAAATGGTCTTGCAAGGTTTGAATTTGGGTTGGAGGTGATAAACTGTAAATAAATTGCTTTGATCCACAATCAATGCATACAGATCTTCTGTGAAAAACAACTCCAAAAAAATCAAGGGGAGTAGTTAAATTTGCTGTTTCCAATTGAATTCAGGGTTTGGCAGTGAATGGGGGAAGTACAGGTGCTGCAGAATTTCTGGGCTGCCAATCGGGATTTGCAAGCACATCCGGAAGGATACTAGGGGCTCTACGGGCTTGTGTGCAAATTCTTGGTGGTTGCGGGACAATACTTGTGCTCGCCACCGCACCAGCTTATACTGCACTTATGAGCCTCGCCACGACACCAAGTGATACTGCAGTGCTGGTATGTGAAAGACCAGGATGTACTAGGCCACTGGTGCTCGCCAGTTCACCAAAAGGTAGCGTGGCACTAGTACTGGCGCTCTGCTGCATATGAGAGTCACCAAAATTTACCTGCAAGTGCTAGCAGAGATCAGGCCTGATTCTGCGAACACTGCGGTTTTGTGTGCAAAGTGACAGTGATCTACTGACACTACATTTGCTGGGGGAGAAGTGGGGCTAAGCGTAGGGGCTAAAGGCAGGTGCTGGCAGGTGCCTGGGCTGATCCCACCAATGCTGCATTTTTGAGGACACTATACTAATGTGAACGTTGTTATAGTGCTGATCTGATCAAAGATATTGATCCGTTCAGACACTATACTAGCAATGGAGGTTTATTGTATATGTGAGCGTGTTCCTGGCAATCAAGGGGTTAAATGTGATTACTGGTGTACTGACCGGCAATCTGACGCTATCTGGGTGGGGCGCGAAAACCGCGGGAGTGCGAATCACTTATATATACGTGATTTTGTGCACCCCTGCTGCCCTGTAGCAGTATTTCTACTATAGGGCAGTGTGGAAGCGGTTAAACATGTCCAGTGAACATCATTTAAAAAAGCAAATTTCGTCATAACTTTATGCCAAAATGTATTCTGTTACATGTCTTTGCTACTAAAAATCCCAATACGTGTAAATGAATTGATTTACATGAAAGTTATAGCGTTTACAAATGGTGGTATAGATAATGGAATTTTTTTTTTTTTTTTTTTATAATAATGGCGGCAATCAGCGACTAGAGGGACTGCAGTGGGCATTCTGACACTGGGGGGAACTGACTTGGTGTCAATGACATCCCCAGTGGCAGCAATACAGTGATCAGTGCTAAAAAAAAAAAACACTGACACTGTACTAATGGCACAGGGCAGGAAGAGGTTAACATGAGGGGCGATCAAAGGGTTAACTGTGTGACGGGAGTATTTTACTTGGGGGCAGGGGGTGTGTGCTTCACTGTAAGCACACTGCTCTGGATGGCTGTGCACAGCCATTCAGAGCAGCATGCCCGAGCTGACAGGGAACAGGGGTGTTGGTAAACAAAGCAGCCCTCCTCCCCGACCGTGATTGTCGGTAATCACCGGGAGCCGGCAGGTAATCACCGGCTGGTACCTGGTGATTGACAGCCACGGCGATGAAATGGCAGCGCAGGCAGGGAATCCGGCCCCTACCCGGAAATGCTAAATCATGTATATATACGTGATTTTGCACACCCGTGCTGCCCTTTAGCAGTATTTCTGCTATAGGGCGGTCGGGAAGCAGTTAATAATAATAATATTTTTATGACTTTATGGAATATATACATTTATTAAAAACACAGTATAAGCAGCATGTTATAAGATGCATTTCTTGGGATAGGCATAATGGCAGCTATTCACTAAGCCCTGTGGTAAGATCTCTTGCAATGTGCGACTACCCTTGCTAAGTGAACACCTATTAGCCTTTAATAAATCAACCCCATGGTCTTTGCATTGACTGAACAGGACCAGCTTCCAAGGAGTACTTATTTGATACAAATTTTGAAAACCCAGATGTTATTTACAAGGATCTCACATGTAAAGAACTTTTGATTTAAAAGTGTTTATTTGATTTTTTTAATTCAAATTGATGTTCTTTTTAGACAGGAATGATAAGAAAATTCACAGGAGCAGGATAGATAAGGTTTCTTGAACAAAACATATTTATAACAGTCTATGTAGTATTTGCTGGGGAAATTCCATTTATTCCAAAATTGAATGTTAAAGCAAAATAAATTTTGAGCAACTTTTGAATGATATTCATCAAGTCATAGAATGTACTGAGATTTATTGTATGAATACTCTACTAGTTTACCAGTTTATGGCCAACTTAAAGAGGAGCTCTGCCCAAAAGGGGAAGTTCCACTTTAAGACTTCATCCACTGTTAAAGTTTGGCACCTTTGGAGAGCTGGGAAGGAGAGGGTACCCATATTTGGCAGGTACACACTCCCACTCCCGCTGTGATCGCCTAAGGCGAATGGAAGCATAAGTTGTCCTCCTCCCCGTAGTCTTCTGGGACACGTGACAGGTCCCAGAAGACTACAGAACCATTCATGCACAAAGCATAGTGCTACTCACACATGCGCAGTGGGCACTCGGCTGTAAAGCCACAAGCTGTCACAGCTGGGAACCCACACTGAAGATGCTGGTGCTGGGGACATAGGACGGTCGTTGAACCCGGCCGGAGTGAACACACCACTGGACCGAGTGTCTGTTTTTTAAAAGTCTGCAGCTACAGTTTTTGTAATTGCCGACTTTATTCAATTTTTTCATTTTCACTGGACAACCGCTTTACACCCTAATCACACTGGGTGCGACTTGGCATGCGATTTGCATGCCATGCGACTTGCAAATCATATGTTTATTGTCTGCTATTAGAGCGGTCATATCGGTGCGGTTCCAACTTGGTCAAAGCCGCACTGATTTCTAAAGTAGTACATGCACTATTTTTGGTGCGATTTGTATAGACATCTCTGTCATATGTCTTGCAAATCATACCTCAAATCGGCAAGTCAACTGACTTTGAAATTGTGCTGCTTCACTGTAAGTCTCACGATTTGAAAAACAGCTTTGATGTGACTGGGGGGTTAAGGATGAGACCGGGAATACAACTCCCAATATCAAATACAGAAGTTCTCTATTTCCTGCAGGTATTCAAGTTGTAAATATATCCTTTCATGTTCAATGACTTTAATGGCATTCAATGACTTTTGCCAAAAACCTCTCTATGCATTGCAGTGTCCTCAGTACATTAACATGTAGTGCTCCTTTTTGTAAAAGAATTCTTACTTTTTCAGCGGCTCATTTCGTTGCCCTCCCCTCTTTGTCCTGCAGATGGCAGGATGTATCAAGCATTGGATGCGCAGCCCTGGAGCACTGCATTGTAGGTAAAACAACCCCTTAAGAAACTCCTAAATCAGAACTTTAATTAGGACGGAAACATACTGTATATTTGGCTGTGTTGTTGGGGACACAACTGAATACGTGCATAGATTACTACCACCTGTTGGTATTGTCCACCCTCTAAAACGTTTCCCATTGTGGATGTACATTGCTGGATTATGGTCTGTAGCACTACCTCCAACTGTGCCACCTCCAGTTGTGTCTGTTTAACAATATTGCCATTTAGTGCCAATATGGGGAAAACAGTAACTGCACTGTTGTTGAGAAAAAAAAAAACATTCCCCTCTGGGTGATCTCTGTCAGGGGCAGGGGCGGACTGACAACTCATGGGGCCCCCGGGCAATAGGGGATCATGGGGCCCCTATGTCCTCACCCACACTCAAACCTCACCCAAAAAAGCCTATAAAAGCTACCAGGGGCATCTCATGGGGCCCCTTACTGACCCCGGGTCCTCGGGCAGTGCCCAAATTTCTGAATGGTCAGTCCTCCCCTGGTCAGGGGCGTCCCTAGGGTTGGTGTCACCCGGTGCGATAACACTTGGTGACACCCCCTTCGATGATCCCCGCAGAATGGATCGGATCTGCGGATTGAGCATAATGAATTGGACTCTGATCCATTATGCTCTCCAAATCACAGATCAGATCCATCCCACGGGGATCGTCAGCTTTCTTTATAACTTAGCTTTTTGTGGAGCGGGTCCGGTGTCACCCCATATATGTTGCATGCCGACAATCCCTGCAGCATGGTTCGGATATGTGGATTGAGCATAATGGATCGGAGTCTGATCCATTATGCTCCTCAATCCGCAGATCCGATCCATCCTGCGGGGATCGTCGGCATGCAACCTGTACGGGGTGACACCGGACCCGCTCCACAAAAAGGTAAGTTGTAAAGAAAGCCGACGATCCCCGCAGGATGGATTGGATTCATCCTGTGGGGATTGTCAGCTTGCTTTACAACTTACCTTTTCATGGAGCGGGTCCGGTGTCACCCCATGTGGTAGGTGTCACCCGGTGCGGCACGCACCCCCCCGCACCTGCCTCAGGACGCCACTGGTCTATGTGCATTGCAGGGAATTTAACAAACGTTATTACAGATTCCTACCTTTTGTTATTCTAAACAAATAGATTTTTTTGTCTGTGTCCATGTGCAGAGTAATTCTGTATGGGAGAGATTTTATAATTATCAATCAGCTGCTGCACCTGCAGAGCTCTAGTGAGGAAAGTGGCACCCCATTACACATGATTTCCCTTTGGGGAGTATCTCACCAAAAATTACAATTCTGTTGCAGGGGATGCTGAAAATCTGACTTAGCATCTTAGTGTAGACTTCTGGGAAAATCAGTAAGTTAATCCCACAAGCAGGAAATAACATTTCTGGGGGACTTTTATTGGAGATAATAGGATGATGCATGCTGCTACAGGTATTATCATCCCGGTATCTTTTTTTTTTTGGCCAGTGATCCAATATAATGTAAAAGCAATCCTAGCAGCTAATTAGCCACTGAATTGCATTTACAAGCATTGGGAGGGGTGCCCCCCTTATGTTGCTCTTTGGTGCATCGGGGAGCCCGAGACTGAAGCCGGTGCTATCGCCAGCTTGTGACTTCTGTTGTTCATGAAAGAGAATTTGCATTGTAGTGTATAGTGATACTGAATCCATCTTCACTCCATCTTCTTTGGTTTTACTTTTCTAAGGCTTGACAGGCCTTTATGGCCACACATTTGGTGAGTGAGCTTTTTTACTACACATGGGGGATCGCTTTGCTTGGATCAAAGAAGAATACATTTTCCTCTGTCACTTAAAGGCAAAGGTGATTGAGAAGATATATACCCTAAGGCTGTATGCACACTGGGTGTTTTAAGAACGCTGGTAACATTAGCTGTGTAAAGTCACTTTAAAAAACATGAGTTTTTTTAGCTTATTTTTAGCATTTTTGCATTAGCGTTTAGCGGGTTTGGCATCGTTTGCGTTTTTTCGCATATTGTTTTTACAAAAATTTTATTTTTGCTCAAAAAAGTCCAAAAATGCAGTTTTGCCATGTTTTTCAGCATTTTTACAGCTAAAAAACTCCTCTAGACACTCACTAGTTCTGGGTTTTTTCCAGCCAAAAGACATCCCAGCCAAAAAACGCTGATTACAGTCTGTGTGTGCATGGACACATAGGTTAACATGCTGGGGAGTTCACTGGCTGTAGAAAAAAATGTCAAAAGCCAAAAACAGCCACTGTAAAAACATCCAGGAATTTATGTAATTTGTTACTGTGAACACTTTTGTTATTGTGTTAAATGTTTAAGTGGACACATATTTGAAATATTATTCACGTTTTTTGTGTTTATGTTATTAATTTTCAAAAGAGTAAAACCTACCTTTCTATTACTTATGTCACATGTTTAGTGTAGTTTACTTATATTATATATAGATAGTTTATTTGTTGCTTGGCGCCCTATTATCATACATAATTTTCAGCTCCAGCAGATTGATTGCCTCAGCGCTGTTCCTGTGAGCTGTGTGGAGGGAGTGTGTTTCTTCCGTCCATTAAGCTCTCAGAGCTTTCCTCACTGAGCTCTGTAGACTGTAAAACATCAGCTCTCCACCCCCTTTTTTCTGAACTCTCAGACAAGCTGTATAAATTCAGTATTTTAAATCGATGTAGAGAAGAGAATACTGCAGGTAAACAGGTATAACTTGTGTAGGAGTATTTGTTTCGTCTTTGTATCAGGTCAGTGACTTCACTGGGTATATGTAAGAGTTTAGAACCACTTTAAAATAAACCATAATGTAATATCATCTTCTACTGTATGCACGTTTGGAAACCGATTCTCTAGTGACTTTACAGATCTACCATAAGGTCACCCTTAGCAAGTGTGACTTAAAAAAAAAGTACATATTGACATTTATAGGTAATAACACCAGAGATTGTTGATCCAGGGAACATCCGATTGACTTCAGGGGATCAGGAAGAATTTTTTTTCCCCCTGCTTGAGCAAATCGAACTATGCTTTATAGGGTTTTTTCTTCCTTCCTCTGGATCAATTGTTGGTATAGTGTTTTGCATATGAATGTTTTGTATATATTTATCCTATTTATATACTGTTTCTATTGATTGAACTAGATAGACTTTTCCACTTGACTAACTATGTAACCATAATGTATATACTGTATTAAGTTTGAAAGTTTCTTAAAGCGGAACTTTAATTTCTCAATCAGCATTGGCTATTTTTAATCCTTATGCTGCTAGCATTAGTAAATAGATAGGAAGGTATATCATATTTACTTGTTTTAAACCTAATTTTACATTTCGTCAGTTACTTCCTGGTTCCCATGCCTAGGCAAATGATGTCATACATCCCAGGAGTCTTCAGGCAGGAAGGATGGGTTTTTCTCAGCTGAGCACACCATCCTGCCTGCATGCCTGAACTAAGGGAAAATGGATTCCGAGAAGTAAATGCTACATGAATCATCTGCCCTTACACAAGATGGCCAAGGCCAGAAATGCTAGGAGGTGTTTTTCAAAGCAACTGCGTATCAAAATAAAGCATAAAGAAATGGATACAGTTGCAAGAAAAAGTATGTGAACCCCTTGGGATTACGTAGAGTTTTGCATGAGTTGGGCAAAAAGTGTGCTCTGAACGTCATCTAAGTCACAACAATAGAAGAACACAGTCTGCTGAACATAATACTACACAAACATTAGATGTTGCCATGGTTTAATTGCACATAACATGTAAACATTCACAGTGCAGGGAGGAAAAAGTATGTGAGGCCCTAGCTTAATGACTTCTCCCAGAGCTAATTGGAGCCAGGAGTGAGCCAACCTTGACTCCAATCAGTGTGATGATATTGGATGTGTTGCTGACAGCTGTCCTGCCCTTAAAAAACACACACCTGTTTTGGGTTTACTGGTTTCAAGAAGCACTGTCTGATGTGAACCATGCCTCGCAGAAAAGAGCTCTCAGAAGACCTACCATCAAGAATTGTTGACTTGCATGAAGCTGGAAAGGGTTACAAAAGTATCTCCAAAAGCCATGATGTTCATGTGTTCACGGTAAGACAGACTGTCTACAAATGGAGAAAGTTTAGCACTGTTGATACTCTCCCTAGGCGTGGTCGTCCTGTAAAAATGACTGCAAGAGCACAGCGCAGAATGCTGCATGAGGTAAAGAAGAATCCCAGAGTGTCAGCTAAAGACCTACAGAAATCTGTGGCACATGCTAACATTTTTGTTGACACATCTACAATAAGGAAAACATTAAACAAGAATGGAGTACATGGGAGGACACCACGGAGGAAGCCATTGCTGTCCAAAAAGAATATTGCAGCATGTTTGAAGTTTGCAAAAGAGCACCTGGATGTTCCACAGCACTACTGGCAAAATATACTGCGGACAGATGAAACCAAGATTGAGTTGTTTGGGAAGAACACACAACACTATGTGTGGAGAAAAAAAGGCACAGCACACCAACATCAAAACCTCATCCCCACTGTGAAACATGGCGGAGGGAGCATCATGGTTTGGGGCTGCTTTGCTGCCTCAGGGCCTGAACAGATTGTTGTCATTGATGGGAAAATGAATTCCAGAGTTTATCAAGACATTTTGCAGGAAAACTTAGGACCATCTGTCCGCCAATTGAAGCTCCACAGAGGATGGGTGATGCAACAGGACAATGACCCAAAGCATACAAGTCATTCAACAAAACAATGTCTGCAACAGCACAGAATACACCTTCTGGAGTGGCCCAGTCAGAGTCCTGACCTCAACCCCATTGAAATGCTGTGGCATGACCTTAAGAGAGCGATTGACACCAGACATCCCAAGAATATTGCTACACTGAAACAGTTTTGTGAAGAGGAGTGGTCCAAAATGACTTCAGATTGTTGTGCAGGTCTGATCTGCAACTACAGGAAACCCTTGGTTGAGGTTATTGCTGCCAAAGGAGGGTCAACCAGTTATTAAGTCCAAAGGTTCACATACTTTTTCCTCCCTGCACTGTGACTGTTTACATGTTATGTGCAATAAAACCATGGCAACATCTAATGTTTTGTGTAGTATTATGTTCAGCAGACTGTGTTCTTCTATTGTTGTGACTTAGATGACGTTCAGAGCACATTTTTTGCCCAATTCATGAAAATCTCCACGTAATCCCAAGGGGTTCACATACTTTTTCTTGCAACTGTAGATGTGGGATATTGTTTTGAATAATAAAAATGAACTAAATAGTGGTTTTGGTTTGTGGTGCTCAGATGCAGTATAGTTCCAATTTAACCATTTGCCCTCCAGAGGATTTACCCCCCTTCCTGACCAGGCCATTTTTTGCGTTACGGCGCTGCGTTATTTTAACTGACAATTGCGCGCGGTCATGCAACGCTGCACCCAAATTAAATTTATGTCCTTTTTTTCCCATGAATTGTGCTTTCTTTCAGTGGTGTTTGATCACCTCTGCGGTATCTATCTTTTGCACTAAAAGCAAAAAAAGACCGACAATTTTGAGAAAAAAAACAATATTTTGGACTTTTTGCTATTA